AAATCAAACAGACGAGCCGTTCATTAAAAGAAGAACAATGGTGGATACCCATCGGAGCTGGCCTGGTGGAAGGGGGGGGTAGACCAAGGGCCTTGGTTGCAGGGGGGTTGGGGGGGTGGGGGCTTGGTTGGCAGTTCCAAAGCAGGGGCAAGGGGTCAGGGAAGAGTTGGGGCTTGGACAGGGCAGGCAAGGGCTCGGGGGGGTTTTTAGGGGTCGGAGCTGGCCTGGTGGAGGGGGGGGTTAGAGCAAGGGCCTTGGTTGGGGGAGGGTTGGGGGGGTGGGGGCTTGGTTGGCTTCCACGGGCGGGGTAGGGGGGGGTAGGGGGCAGGGCCACGGGGTTCAGGGACGGAGCAAATTAAGGCCTTGGTTGCAGGGGGAGGGTTGGATTGAGGGAAGGGTTAGGTTGGGGCTTGGTTGGCAGTTCCACAGGGCAGGCAAGGGACGGAGCAAATTTTCGCAACTAACTGGTGTGTCATTTTTGTTGTTTCTAACGCGTAGAAGCCCTGTGGGGTGGGATACCCATCGGAGCTGGCCTGGTGGAGGGGGGGGTAGACCAAGGGCCTTGGTTGCAGGGGAGGGTTGGGGGGGCAAGGGCTTGGGGCGGTTCTGGGGGGAGGGTCCTTGGTGGATTGGGGGTGGGGGCAAGGGGAGGGCTTGGGGGGGGTTCCAAGGATTTCGCCACTGGTGTGTAAGAAGAACAATGGCGTTTTTTAAGGGATGCCCTGTAGGGTGGGGGGGGATACCCGTCGGAGCTGGCCTGGTGGAGGGGGGGGGTAGACCAGGGCCTTGGTTGCAGGGGAGGGTTGAGGGTGCAGGGCAGGCCCGAGACCGAGCGCGACCGCCACCAAGTAACAACCGCATTCAAGATGGAGTAAAAGGTGGAAAGCAGTTGGAGGTAGCCGCGTAGAAGCCACCATACAAAGGGCTTCCCCGGCGCTCGACCCCCAGAGCGGGGTCGGCGGATAGTGAGCAGCATGGAGGGATCTTAGATGATCTTAAGGTTGCATCAATCATTCTCCAATTCTCGAGTGAAAGCAGGAACATTGTCTTGCTTACCTTTCTATTCCGGCAGGCATTGTAGGGTGACGGGTCCTGACGTGAGGTGGGGTCCGATGGAACATTCGACGAGAAAGCCACGCGCCTAGAAGTGTCCTAGGCTTGGTAGGCAATTCATCGCAGAGCGTCAGGATGGCATGATGTGGAAGCTGCAGTCTACTTTGTGAAGTTGGTCTTGTTTTTGAAAGATGCGTGTGTGAAATCCGCAGCACATGATGGGTTCAGGTCACTGCAGAAGTTCTTTTCTGAATTACCAGGCCATGTGCTCAAGCATACTCAAATCGGCAAAGGACAAAGCCAAAAGACTCATAAGTCTCTCGTGCCACGTCAGACAGATTAGCAGACAACTGCAGGAACATTGCTCTGATTCACCGGTACAGTGGTTGCAGTACTGTTTGGGACTTCCTGCTTTGACCAAGCCCGCCATTTGCGACCGTGCAAAGATCTTCACGACGCACGCCGGCATTGCACCGGGAAGCTCCCATTGTTTTTGGTGGCTGCTCTGCAACTCGCTCAATGTCGGCTTCCGATCCATATGATGCCCTGGTCTGAGATACTTGTTTGTTTTACCTGCAGCACACATTTCTGCGACACTTCGTGAGACACTGCACGCGCCCTTAGCGAGTCGTTGCCGGGTTCAGGCGACCTTTCGCAGGCCTGAGCCAAGGCTGGGGGCCGTCAAGTCCGTAGAGCAATGCAAAGATTTCCAACGCGCCCTTCAACGATTGATGTGCCAACTGTGGAATCATTTTGCGCTTGCAGAGCACGGGACATACGGGACGAACTTGCTGTGTTGCATCTTCCCTTGCAGGCAGGAACGCGCAGGGGTCTTATCGGATCAGTGCATAGATGCTGAAAGTTGTGTTTTGCAGGGTCTTGGCCTTGCAGCAGGGTGGAATTCTCTCTGAGGCTGCGTCCGTGCTGCTGGACCTTGTGTCCACTCGCCCGCCGCACCCGTCATCTGAGCCTCCGGATCGCCAGGCTGGGTCCCTGGCTCCGCGAGGGCATAACAAGTGACTGTTGGGCCTGTGAAGGTACTTCCGCCCCCGCCACCTGCCTCGCAGCACTTCAGCGGGGGCATGACGGTCCCTTCTGTAGGGTCCGCCGCGCACGAATTGAGGTGGGGGGCTCAACATGGACGTCCGTTAACACGGCGGCAGTGATGGATCCCACAGTCTGAGACAACCCACTGTGCCTGCATGCGCCTGCGTGTATATGCGGAAACATATTTCACCTCATGCTTCGCTGCTTCGCGCAGGCGCTGCAAGCCCTGTGCCTTCTTCTGGAAGTGTGACGGCTGCCAAAGCGGACAGGCACAGCTGCGTTTGGCTGCATTTGGGAAGCTGTCTCCCACTTTTGCCGCATTCATCATTTAGCCTCTGCGCGCTTTTCAACATGGATTCGCGACAGCTGTTCGTGTCGCAAGTGTCGCGTTGCTGGTGCGGCAGGCGTGCCTGTTTTGCCACCTCTGCCCGCCTGACGAGAAGAAAAGGCGCAAGAAGGACTCCGTTTTTACTTGCAAGAATTCCTGAAACGCACGACCCTGAAGAGTCTTCAGTACTCATTCGTTCCGTGGTGCTAGTCTGCAGCCTCGATGGAAAGCCAGCGAACTCTTTAGCACCAGTTGTCCCATGTCCTTCCGCTGTTGCACCTTGCATGCCATGCACGTGAAGGCAAACTGCCCGAGGAGCGACGCTTTGTGGCTTCGATGGGTACCACTCGGCACTACGAGGCCCAGGCAGGCAATGAATAATGATCTGACACAGTGTTCCTTTCATGGAAATGTTCACAGGCCCCAGCCCGTCCGCAACGTTCGGTACGGAAGGTGTCCGAGGTGGCGCCAATGAAAGTCCAGGCTTTGCTTAGGGGCGAGCAGACTGTTGAGCGTGAAGTCTTTTGAGAACATATGTCAATTGACACCTGCTGGCTTTACTTAGACTGCCTTGCTGGCAGGTTGACAACGTCAGCCATGGCCCCTACATGCCGGAAGAGGCAATGTTGGTACCCGAGGAGCCGTCTAGTCTTCATTTGCTTGGCATGCCCAGAGTCTTGCAGAGTGCGATCCAGCTGTTGTGAAGGAGGCCTATCTGCTGCATGACGAGGTCAGCACGTATACTCGTTTTTTGCCAGTGCCTGCTGTAATCTTAGACACCTGTGAAACGGTCTGGTTAACATAACAGCAGATCAGTCTATTTGTCACTTTAGTAGCCGGTGGTTGCCACATAAAGTCTCCTAGCCTGCACTTCAGTTCAAGCTTGATTAGCTTCCGCCTGGCAGGTTCCGACTGCATACTACCAGGAGTGTCAGCTGCCAGGCATTGTAGCGCCACGGGCTCAGGACCTGGTCAGTGCTTTGGCCAGTAGAGATGGGAAGTGCCTGTTTCATTCGCTGCTCACAGAACGAGGCCGGAATTACGTGACGTGGAGGCGCAGATCATTCAAAGAGCCCTGATGGAGCAGGAGGCCAGCAAATAGTGGAGCCTTGCCGACCTTTGCCAGGCCGACTGCCGCATGACTTGTTTCTGTCAGCAAATACCGCAGGTGGCAGAGGTGGAAGCCGAATGGGGCTATCGACACTTGGGCAGCACGGAGCATCTTTGAGAATTCTTTCTTCTCATGCGAGCTTCACTTTGCCTGTAGGTCCACCACCTTCCAATGGTCGCGTGCGCCTTGAATTGGACAAGGCGCGCCTCGCTTGTCCTGTTTTTCTCCTTTAGAGCTGAAAGCGCTTTCGCACAACAAGCCACACTCATGGCGTAGCTTCTGATAGCTGGCAGCCTTCGCAGCCTTCCACCCCCAACCTCGGCCCTCACATCTCCTCCGTTTGGCGGTCGCTGCCCTTAAGAACTTCTACTAGATATCACTGTTTCATGCTTTCTGTTTTATCCCGGCGCCTCCTTTGCCAAACCATGCGATCCCCAATCCTGTACCTGGAATCCCCAATACATTCCGACACAGATGAGGCCTGACAACGCCTAAGGCTCCAAGGCCTCAGCACAGATCAATGAATGCCATGGACACACTCTTTTGGCAAGAGTGTGAAGACAGCTGGGCTTTCGTGTTGAAGCTTGACTCGGCAGAAAGGGGACGCTAGCGGGAGCATATAATCCTGCACGTCGAATCCTAAATCGCAGGCGCTTGTGCCTGGGCAGGTACTCCCCACACCCGGCTACTCGGGAGTTCCTTGGCCAGAATTGTTGGAGTCAGAATGGTACTGCATGAATCTCCTTCAAAGCTATTACAGGAAAGATTTCACAATCCTGGTATTGCCAGCTTCTGCTTCTCCACCTGCTTCTCTTGTTCTTTTGATGTTTTTGTCTTGCTTCATCTTGGCTTCTTCTGTATACCCGTGTGTTTTCACTTGCAAGCTCCTCCTCTGAACTTGGAGAAGTTCCTGGCTTTGGTGCTTATCTCTTCGATGGTTGCTTTGACGATGCAGATGGGTTGTGTGCAGATGCCATCTGCAACATCTGCACAACGTCTACACATGTGTTTGCTTTGCGACAGTCACTAGAATTGGCGAGACTTGTTCGGCATGTGTAGCGGCAGAGTCAGCAAAGCGTAGAAGAGCACAAAGCTCAGAAGACGCCAGATAGTTTTGCCCTCATTATGCAGACTCAGGCATATTCTGACTTCATGGATGACGATCTTGACCTGAACGCCTTGACTGCCTCGCCTAGCGCCGGCTTCGACGAAGATGAAGGCTGGACGTGATCAGTCTCTAACAATCTTGATGCACAATAACAGCGTGAGTACTGCATCTGATTTTGACAGATACGGACCTGGGTGCAGAACTTCCAACTCTCCTGGCGCCGAGTGACACCCTTCCTAGAAACTTGCCTGCAACAGAGTGCTGCAGCACTGAGGGCCTGCCAGTTGAGATTGGGTGATGAGAGGGAGACAACTTTGAAGCTTTGTTACTGTGGAGTCAGCTCGAGGTGATGGTGTGGGAAGTGATGATGACAAGAACAACCAAGACAGCTTCTTTTCTTTCGATCCGCTTTCGTCGCTTCGAAACGCTGGTTTGTGAGTCGCTAACATCTGGATACTCTTGGCACTCCCACAAGTTTGGGCCTTCAGAATCCCCTTGACTCAGATGTACCTAAGCAGAATCCAATCAAAGCTTGTGGTGAGACATCTGCCAGGAGATCTGAAATGCAAAGGGAAGACCCAGCACATGAGTTCGCAATAGAGTTGCTGCTTCAGCCAGAAGACAGTTTTACGGTGCAGGGATGGCAAGAGGCAGTGCCGAGAGAGCAGCAGCTCTGTCTCAGCAGCCATCATGGTGTGCCCGGCCGTTGGCGGAGAAGCATCGTCATCCGCACTTTTTTCGTTTCGCGCGGCACGGGAGTCTCTCAAAGAATGGAGAGCACCATAATGGCTGCCAGAGGTCATTCCCAAGTAGGACCTTCATGTTGTCAAAGGATTGCCCCAGCCCCAAAGACGGAAAGTCTGGGCTCGAAACACTTGAAAGTGCTCGCTTGTTCAAAGAAACAGATCTCGGTACAGTTTCAGGAGCTCTGCAGCAACCTATGTTGGTTTCGCTAGTGACAGTATTGAGTTTTGAGCGACATTCAACTTGGCCAGTCACTCTTCTTCTTGCCTCAGTTCGACAGAACGGCTGCATGAGCTTGACGCGCGATGCGAGTCAATCCTTAGTAGACTCTACCCACACCCTGGTCGCATCTCAGGTTTGTCGTTACCCATGTTGCGCCTGTCTGAATCCGACTTTCATCGCGCATGCACCTTTCTCGTGGTTTTGGGAACCGTGCGTGAGCCGTTGCCTGCACAGCGTAAAGCCCGGAGTCCTGAAGCACGGCTGCAAGGTTACCAGCACCCCATTTCCCAACGGCTGTCAAAGTAGGCCGTAGCAGGTCGCTTTGTTGCGACCTGCGCCCAGTGGATTTTAAGATCACTCTTGCCCACACCCCAGGTCGCCCACATCATGAATCCTGAGGAACCCTGAGACAGACCCTGAGGCTTCCCGACCCCTTCACGACCTACCCACTGCACGTACTCCATGTTTTCCCGAAGGCTAGACTTGAGAAGAGGGTACTCTGGAACCAGTTCTTCTGTAAGACTACAAGCTTTAGCACAGTTTCTGTTGGCTGTATCCTTGGCTTTCGGGAACCAAGTCTCCAGTCTTCAAGGCCAGCTGCAGCACATAGCCATGCCAAAGATGCACAGGGCTGCTGCCAAGTCGTGAATCGAGTGACCTGGCTGTCGGTCTGAACTATGCCTATGCTGTCACGATGTGTCACGCCATGTCGCGCAGCCTTAGTCACAAAGCTTCCTTGCAACCGGAGCAAGCCTTGGTTGGTGGAAGTGTAAGAAACGACCCACGTGGAGACACCTTTTGCAGATCTGGATTTAATGATCTAGGCTGTCAAGGGACATACTTCAAGTTTGTGATGCCCAGACAACAGCCTGGCCACTTCGCGCTCCTGCAAAGTCATGTACAGGAGCCTCACCGGTAGAGCTGGTAAAAGAGGTGGATTGTGCCAGTTTGTAGTTTTAATGGTCTTTCAGAGTTGTATCAATGGTTCAACAGTCTGATGTGGCGAGGTCGATGTCGATTGTACCGGCCTGAGGCCAGAACTCAAAAACCTGCAAGTCGATGGCTTCTTACGAAGCTTTGAGGCCGCATACCCTGGGGTCTGCTGGCAGATGCTACTGCGGTGTGAGCCCTGAGAAGCCTGACTCATGCAGATGGTACTGAAACTAGTAATACACTTAATAGTCGTAATCATGACCATAGTAAAAATAATAGCAATAAGAGTAACAATACTAGTAATTGTAGGTGTAATGGTGATCAGGCTGCCATCGCAGGGCTCGTGACTTTCGCGCCTGGGCCTTCCAGGCAGCGGCAGCTTCTCCGTTCCTTCACATCTCAAGACCTTGGCCAGGGATGCTTGGGATGAAGCGGACCTCATGCATGAGGCTTGCAAATGTAGCGGTCAAAGATGCCCCCTACAGTCCCGGATGTCTTGACACTTGATACTGGAACCGACAGAGGGTCTGCGAAGGCTTCGGGCTTTGATCACCTTTTGGCGCCCCTGATTGCAACCTTCTTCGTCTGCTCCTCCCAAGGCCAGCAGTGTGCCCAGAAGGCTGGCAGAGCTCACGAGAAGTTGCCTCGTCCGCAGGAGCAGGCAAGGGTGGTGTACAGTCGGTTCTACGGCACCAGTCCATGGCCAGAACCTCTGCATGGTTGCGCGGTTCCGCACCCCTTTTTCACCTCGCAGTCAAGCTGCCACTAGGCGAGTCTTGGCCGATACAGCCTCTATGTCTACATGTTCCAGGAGCCGCTGTTCAGGCATGTCAGGGCACGATGTTCCTTCCAACAGCATGTGGTTGGTTTCGCATGCTACGTTGCATGTCTACAGGTGCTTACGTAGCTGCTGGGCTGACCTGCGGTGCAGGTCGATTGAAGTCTTTGTGCCGCACCTCCGGAACTCAGCGGAGGGGTTTGCTCTAAGCTCAGTCTGTCAAGGTGTAGCAAGCTGGAACAATGATGTTCTTTGCAAGCTTCTTGAACAGCATCGTGAAGTAGTGTCCGCGTAGGTGTTCTTTGTTCTGTGCTTGTGGATGCTTGCCGGCTTTTACGCTGAAAACGCACCTGCCTCGGCTTCTTGATTGACCTCTACCCATGAGGGCAAGCAGTCAGCGCAATGCTATGCATTGCTTTAGATGGTGTCTAGGTGCTAGATGACAAAGCAAGGTTTCAGTGGAGTTATTTCACGACGTGGGTTTGTGTTTTGCGTTGGCCTGAAGGCTACATGACATTGCGCCGTTTCTTGCATTTGCAGCCACCAGCCCAAGCACTGAAGGCATGGCCGAGCCCACGTCAGACCAATTCAGGGGTTTGTTTGTTGAAGAAGCTGCTGTTTCATAACCACGGTGGTCATTTTTATGTTGATGTTGCCTTGCCATACTTCTTTATTGCTGCTGCTGTTGCTGCTGTTGCTGCTGCAAGGTGGTCATTGTCGCAGCTGCTGCGCCGGCACTGCTGCCGCTGCTTCTGCTGCTGCTTGTGCTGCTGCTTTTTCTGCTGCTGTCCTCCCGCTGCTGGTGGTGGTCGCGGCGGCCGCGGCGGGGATGGTGTTGGTGGTGGTGGTGGTGGTGGTGGTGGTGGTGGTGGTGGTGTTGTTGTTGTTCTTTGTGGTGGTAAAATCCTTTCATCTTCTTGTTTTTCATGTTCTTCTTGTCCCATTTGGCTGTGGCGGCGGTTAGATGTAGTAGTGATGGTGGCAGCTGCTTGCGGTTGTCGTTGTAGTTGCGGTTGTGGTGATGACCGTGGCGTTGGTCGTTCTTGTCGGGGTTGTAGTCGTGGTTGTAGGGTGGTGTGGAGAAGCTCTTTTCACTCTTCTTCATTTTGCGCTGCAACTGCGGGACAATGTTGGTCTAGGCACATGCCTTGTGATCGAGCATGTGCATGAAACGTCGCTGGTATCAGTCTCGCCGCTTAGGTCGAACGGGTGCTTCTCAAGTGCTCAGGCTGCAATTTCAAGTCAGAGACCTTGAGAAACATGATAGCCGTACCTGAAAAAGGCTTTAGATCTATCAATAGCTGCCTGAACTTGCCACGACTGCCCTTGAACAGCATGATAGAGCGGATGGTGTGGGGTTAAAGGTAGTTAATCTCTTCTGGAAGCGCTTCAGTTCGCTCCCCGAGGATGTGGGTGAGTACCCTATCCAGCGAGCCCTCCGACAATGCTTCATAAGGTGTTCTCTAACTCGTAGCACAGAGCCTTCAGGTGGCTCTCGCATGGCTAATACGGCCGTGCTTGAGAAACTCGAGCTTGGATTGAAACCGCTTCAAAAAGATTCGTGTTGCATGCGCCAGGGCTCCTTACAAGTCTACATTTGCTAGGCTTTTTATCTGCTCTTGTAGGGATGCCATCGTTTTGGAATCCAAATTCACCGTCAAGGCCTTGATTATTACAAGATTTCGCAGTTACTGTAGCTGTCATTTCGTACCATATGATTGTGATTTCGTGCAAGACTCGTTGCCTCTTGATTTGAGAAAACTTTGTGCAAACGTGTTGACAGAGTGACGAAATCAGAGCACCAAGTGACAATTCCAGTGACATAGAGCGTTTTTGAATGCCCTCCTTACAGTAAGTGACACGGCTTGCTGACACTCCTTTGGTACCAAGTGACAATCCCATTGTACGAAGTGACAGTTACAGTATGAATGAACATTTCACCAGCTCAACAAAGTCTACGCTACATTGTCTCTTGCCGATAATCTCAGTTAGCAGGTGACAACCTGAGCTTTAAGCCTGCGTAGAAAAGCTACACACAGGAGAGCATGTATTGACGGCTCTTCCCTGATGTTTGATGCTTGGAGTGCGTTCCACAATGTATACTGTGCATGGTGGAATCAAGTGGTTATTCGAACTGAGCTTGTTTTTCTTTGGATCCCGTGCGCAACACGCATCATACGCTTTGCTTGCAGTGTCACTATCAATACCGTCATGTCTGATCTCAAAAAGCGAGGCCATGGACATAGTAAAGTCTCTTCATGCAGCATGTGCCAGCAAGAAGCTCGCCTCGCAGAATCTCGCAGCCGCGACCGGATGAGTTTCCTATTTTCTCAGCAAGCCCTGCGTGCAGCAGCTTGCTCAGGGAGCCCCGGCCACTTACCAACCGCATCCAGCTGCCTTCCGGTGCAGGCTAAATACTTGGACTTTTGCCCTGTCGCCGGCTTTCTTGTGCCTTTGCCGTCCTGGATTTTGGCTTGCCGAGCAGCGTTCCGCTCTGGGTCGTCTGATTGCCAGACACGGACAGACACACAATTAGGATCGTGGGCAGAGCTCGCGTCATCGCTGCGGCAGCAGGCCCTGCCCCACCCTGTCGCGAAGAAGAGACAATCTGCCTGCCCAGCACGGTGTCGTCCTTCTTGGGCTGCCGTTGGAGATCGCGCTTGGCGGTTGCTGGAGCTCTGAGGCAGCGCAGTTGGAGCGCACTTCACAAAAATCCTGGCCCACATCGCCGCTTTTCCTCCACGACGGCGCGGAAGCAGTA